AGAGTATGTAGAGATTGTTTCCCTTTGAAGAGATTTTGTAAAACAGAGCTGAAAGTTCGTGGAATCATATTCTTTATGACAAACTTAATTAATGGCGAAATACTGTAACACCGATATATTACCTTAGTGATGAAAATATTGAGTATTAAAGCCGCATTAGTGTTTTTCCTCCATAGTTAATTTTGAACATGGCACCGGGTTATGCGAGGCGATTGTCTCAGAGAGCTACGCTGAGATAGTGGCATCGTAGTAAAACCTGCAGCGAAACAGTTTATGAGGAAAATAAGTCGAGTGAGTTTTGGAGACGTGATGTGAATAAGCCGCAGAGTATGCCCGAGAGGACGGTTGTTCAATGAGACGCGTCGTAACGCGGTTCACCGAGTCTCAGTCTTTCGCGGTACCTTTTTGATGTCCGACAGGGTGAGTCCCTCTCGTTGTCCCATGTGTGAGGTTTCCTCACGAGCACGCAACGTCGGAAGGCGGTTGACGGAGAAAGCGCTGTCGTGGTAGTGCAGAACGCTTTCGTAGTCGTACGGGATGTGCGGTGCGTAGCCGGCATCTTTCATGAAGTTCGGCTTGCCGTCTTCCTTAATGTTTTTCCACACCACCTCCACGAACTGGTCGCGGTTGTTGCGTGTGTGCTCGTGCAGCAGACCGATGGTGTGCATCAGTTCGTGGATGATGACGCCCTCGGTCATGCACGCAGGAACGTGCAACAGTACCATGTTCGCCGCCCCGTCGATCTTACCCATGTGCGACTTGCAGCTCGGATTCCGATTCACCAGAATCTTCACCCATCCGCTGGAAGCCGTTAGGTTCATCGAAGACGCTGGAACAAACCTACTGGGCGGTCAGGCGTCTGTCGAACGGCTGACAGCGGCCGGGTTCAAGCGAACACCGGCGTCACCTACCTGATGCACGTGCTGCGCTCGATCGACACCATGGCGTTGAAGATCCTCTGACGGGCGTCCACCGAAAACCGATCGTCTAGCGTGTACGGAATCCTGCCCCGAGGCCACTTTTGTATCAGACCGTACCTCGAGGAATTTACGGTGAACTGTTTGTTCGCCCATGACTCGTTGCTGTCCGAGTTCAAGCCTTTGGATGACGGCGGATGCAGGGCGCTTTGTTGTCGCTGTTCGCGGATGAACAGGCAGTCGTGCAACGACTTCCACTTCGCATACTGTACGGCCTTCTGTAATTCCGTAGGACTCATGTACGCCAACGATTTAATGTCCTAGCAACGGCAAAGCGTATGTTTCCGATCAGTTTGTAAACTAGATGCAAAGATTTACCATTTGCTGTTCGAGGGAATTGCTAACGCCAAATCCAAATAAGATAAATAGAAAACGAATGATCGAGTCCAGGCACACCATCGCCATCGTTGATATTGGCTGGCTGTTCATGCTTGTGCTAGTTGATTTATATTTCGTAACATATGACGCCAAAAATTGCAATCGAACAATATTATGTCATGGTTGAATTCATTGTTCAACTTAATATTGGGCAACGTTACAAGACAGTATTGTTGTACCTGCAGAAGACTTGACGACGGGTATGAATATGGAAATAGTCATTGATGCCATATGCACGCTCGTTCAATATGGTGTTGTGTCACATACGGCAAATCAGCACGCTACGTGTCATAAGTATCGTAGGAACGGTGAAATCCCATCGCACTTTCTTGTTCATATTTTGAAATTCAAGATTTTCCGTGGAACGGTCAGGTTCAGAGCAGTGGCGTCCAGCACCCGTTTGGTGAATGAATCCGCTTCTTCGGCAAACTACACATTTTAAAGTACGACATGACTCTTATGGTGTTAAGTTGTGCATAATTATTATTAATTGCTTGAATAAATCAGAACTACGCCGCTGCCAGCCCCAAGCTGGGATGACAAACGAGGAAGGATGGAAATCGTCACGAGGG